TGGCGAAGACCAACATTTGACTTCATTCATCACACCATATAGAAGATATCAGTTTTGCAGGGCCCCATAGGATTTGCCGCTCTGAATTGATGCATTCTGTCAGTAATAAACTGCTGACCCTTTAAAGGTCCGCAATTGTGTCAAGGTGGTTGATGATATTTTACTCGCCAGCAAGACTTCTGCCCCACTTCTCGAATATGAAGTTCTCACCAGATGTGTAAATCAGGATTACCCTCCGCCTTCAACAAGTTTGTAGTGGCGCGCACCATCAGTGAACTTCTGTGGGTACACTCTCTGAGCATCAGGTATACTTGTGAGAAATTAGTGGAATCAAGTTTTCCAGCCTGCCAACCTGACGGAGCCTCCACGTTCTTTTTGGGTCTGGTCAGTCAGCTGGCTGATTTCTCACCTGACATCTCTGTAGCTCAGCCCGTTCGCCCCTGCTGGGCCCCAGGAGGACATTCCTGTGGACCCTAGATCATCAAGAGACCTTAGCCGTCCAAGCAGGCCCTCTTAAGTCCACCTGTCCTCACCTGTTGCGACCCAGCCCTACCCACCGTTCTCCCGGGCTGGCCTCAGCTCCCCGTTAGTTCGCCCTTCTGCAGGACCTGGCGAACTCCGCTTAATTCGGTGTGGATCCGGTTCATGAACCTTGAGACCCACGATATACTACGATTAGGCTAGAGATGTTGGCTGTTGTCTGGGGCGATGTAATTTCGCCCTACCTGATAGGACTTCGGCACTTCACCCTCTTCCGCGGATCATTGCCCTCTTGTACCTATTATCCAATCACCTCTTTGGATGCAGCTGAAAGAATCCTGCGCCTTCAGCGTTTGAAAGAAAGCTCTCGCCTTATCTCTTCCACGGCTGTGTGGCGTCTTGCCGGGTAGTTGCTGTGCATCCCGGATGCCCCTAACTGTCAGTCGCCCACCTGAAGGGCGAGATGTTGTGTTCTACAGCTGCGCATCCTCAATCCAGTACTCTCGTGAGCCGTCTTCACATCAAGAAGTCTACAGCACCCGGATACCGAACAAGACCGCCGAATCTCGCACCCGCCTTGAGCCGACCCTTCCACACCTACATCCGGCTGCGTCGACTATGTCCCCAAAGTTTCCCTCTAACGTCGACCTTCCATAGTCGCTACTCATACTGCAGTCGCGAGACCTCTATTGTAGCCGGAGAGAAGTCTTGTATGTAGTCCCGCGAGTGATCTGTCCCTACTGCACCTACACCGCCCGTACCAGCAGCCGCCTTCGACAGCCATTGAGGTGGGGCCACCAAACAACCGGGTGAAGCAGGCGCTTCATTTTAGCCCCGGAATCGGCGTGGACATTGCAAGTGCCGTCCATGCCTTGAGCCCGTGCCAGATTCTGCAACCCAGCCAGCAACAGGAACCTTTAATGCGGCGATAATAAGACGCCGGTGTGGCGACTTCTTTTTGCAGTGGCAGGAAGTCCTTCTCGTCGTACCTGTTGTCGTCCCCTGTGGTAGTGATACAACGGCTACTGCTACCATCCGGAATTTCAGACATTACTTCAGTGAAGTTGGTGTTCCCCTCCGTCTCAGGACTGATGGAGGACCCCAGTTCACCAGCCACGAGTTCCGGGACTTCATGGACCGTTGGGGAGTCCGTCATGTCGTGACCTCGCCCCACTACCCCCAGGCGAATGGACACGCTGAAGCTGCAGTCAAGACTGTTAAACACCTGATCCTTAAGGTGTCACCCTCAGGAAATATTGACTGCGAGGATTTCGATCGAGGCTTGTTAGAGTTACGCAACACCCCAAACTTCACCGGACGCTCCCCAGCCCAGGTTCTATATGGACATCATCTCAGGTCTTGTGTTCCTGCCCACCCGAAGTCTTTTTCTCAAGAATGGCAAGCCAAGACTGAAGAATGTGACCGCCGTGCAGCAAAACGAGCCGCAGATGTCGCTGCTCGGTACGACTGTCATGCCCGCCCCCTTCCCAGGTTGAGTATCGGCCAGCAGGTCAGGATTCAAGATCGGGTATCTCACCGCTAGGACAAGGTTGGGGTTGTCATGGGTATTGGCCAGTCCAGGGACTACCAAGTGCGTCTTCCTAGTGGTAGAGTATGGTGGAAGAACCGTCGTTTCCTCCGACCTGTGGAGCTGCCTAGTGTTGACCCTTCCCCAGTTGAGTCCCCTAATGTTGATGTCTTTACAGTAAATCCATCCCCACCTTGTGTTTCTGCCCCGGTACTCCGCAGGTCCGAGCGACTCAGAAACAAAAGGTCCACTCAAGATGAAACTATGAGCGTATAGGGGGGAGGGAGGTGTATAATATGGACACGAAGTAGTACCTTAAGCTGTGTATTCTTATATTACTCTATTAATTATGTATAGTAAAGTATTACAGAACATGTATTAATCCTATGTAATATTTCCATTTATTATGCACCATGTTATGTATGTGAATTATCATATTTACATATTATGTATTCAGCTTGTGAATGCTGGCATCTGTACATGCCAGCGCGGAGTGATACAGAGAGTTGAGATCGCTAGTCCTTATGGTGTGGAAGTTCCTCTGTATATCTCCCGTACGAGAATAAGAACCTATTTTCAAGATAACAAGTGTTTGCATATACCCTCAGTAGTGTAGAACATTTTGGGAGTATCAAAGACAAACATAGAGAACCAATTACCCAATATCTCGCTGAAATAATAGATTCGGTTAACGAACGACTCTGTGGAACGAACTGTGTTTGTTAACCGAGGGACCACTGTATTGTATATATACATATGAGTTTGAAAGTTAGGAAAAAAACAAGAAATAAATCAGGAAAGGCCAAGAAATTTTACTATTGACATATTGTGAGAACCCTAGAAAATTAAAGTATAGTAAAGCCTCGAATAACGACGGTAATGTGTCCTCCAATATTGCAGTGTAAGGTGAATCATCGTATCGTGAATCATGAATTAAAATAAAGCAATAGTAATGAGATGCATTCCAAAGTCTGACCTTTTCATATCTTTTGTGTGGCATTTTACCCTCTTTTCCCCCAAAACAATAAAATTAATGAAAAATGCAAACTATGTTCTTTAAATAATGTGTATGAATGCACCTTATACAATATAAATCAATAATAATAATAATAATAATAATAATAATAATAATAATATGGTCTCACAAGAGGAGATGGGATGCCATTGGTGTTGTCAGTATTACACCCATAATGTCAGTTACCTATCTGAAACTGAAGAAAATAAGACCCTCCAGTAAAATTAAAGTAAAAAAAAATATGTATCTTTCAATTAATGTTATTTAATGTACAGTATAAGTAACCACTGATGGTTACATGATCATTTATCTCATTAAGAATATGTACAAAAGATTCATTATTGTTTATTACTGAATATGTATTTGATTGAATTAATGTTTATGCATGCAAAATGAACAATACAAATTATTAATAATATGCAGAACATTAAAACACACAAGAGGAGTGTTTACACCCATGATGATGGTTTTGCATATGAAACTGAAGAAAATAAAACCTTGGTTGTAGCTGTAGTAAAATTGATGTACAAAAATTAATATGTATGTTTAAATTAATGCTATTTCATGGTAAATGGAACAATAGAAGTAGCTGACCACTAATGGTTAAGATAAAAAACGACTGATTGCACAATGCCAACATGTGTAAATGCGTACATGTGAAAGCATATTGTCATATCTTTACATAAGACTATGAAAGGACACTTACTACTGGCGGTAAAGTCAAAAACATAAATATAGCCAATGAATATTGTTGTGTGAGTTTTTACCCGGATGACGAATTCATCAGGTTCAACTCTGGCTGAAGCTGTAGCTTTCCAAAAGATACTATAGCTCGGGGGTTCCCAAACCTGGGGTCGCGACCCCAAATGTTGTTGGAAGGCTCATTAGGTAGGGTCGCAAAGAGGTCATGGGGTCGCTGGGGTCCTTTGGGTCTGCTAGTGAAATGATTTGGGGTCGCACTGGATAGTTGACAACACTGGATTGGGTCGTGCTAGAAAAAGCTTGGGAACCCCTGCTATAGCTGTTGCTGAACTTGAAGCTGTTAATGAATCTGTAGTTTTTGCTGAAGCTGCTGCTGAATTTGATGGTGAAGCTGTACCTGAAGTTGATGGTGTAGCTGTACCTGAAATTAGTGGTGTAGCTGTACCTGAAATTGATGGTGTAGCTGTAGCTGAAGTTGATGGTTTAGACCTTCGAATAATAAAACTGTCAAAAGAACTTTGCACAGCTGATTTCTTTTCTCATTTAAATCTTTATGTAGAGGTCATGTGCTTTTTTCACGTCCCTGTTAATTTTAATCCTTCGTTCTGTTAGTGGATCCAATTCGGAAAATATGTTCATTGCTTTTTCCATATAATATCCACAGACCTCTCACCTTTTTCCTATCATTTTAACACATCTAATTTCTCAGTTAAGCGTATAAACTTTCTTTTAGCTTTTGAACTTGCACTGTTGCTCCTATTGAATAGAGACACAAAAATGCCATAAAAAGCCTGAAAAGTTTTTCCTTTTTCTATTCAAATGCGTAAAAACAAATGGCTCACCAAGCTGCGACTGTTTATACTAATGATGCTGGCGTTACCACTCACAAGCCTGGCAGCCTCCGTGCACAAGTCATGGTTTTTATTTATTTTTTATAATACTTATCAGGATTTTATTATTTATATAAAAAATTAATTATTTCTTTCTATTTTCGTTGTAAATACGAAGAAAATAACGGTGTAAATTTAATTTGGTCCTAAACTAACCAGGGTCTTAAATATGTATGAATCTTCTTTAGTATAACCGTCGTTATCGGAGGCTTTTCTGTATCTGAACTGCTAATCATCTGTTTGTTTTTCAGGGTTAGAGATTCAGAAGTCCTCTTTCAGGGCTTTTCCTTCTCTGACTAATGGTTGATAGGAATCAACAGGAAATTCACCATTTTGTTTATTTAATTAAATTTTTATAACTTCTTTCATTTGAATTTCCTCACAGATTCAAATGTGAAGAAGAGGCTGTTAACATTGCAAATGCATCCAAGTTTGGCCTGGCCTGTTACTTCTATAGTCAAGATGTATCACAGGTAAGCCAGTGTTAACCCGTACTATGATGGCAAGTTTTTCCAAAAATGTCATTTGAGGTCCAGTTTAAAAAAAATTGGCCTTGATTGTTCACATGTCTGATGGGTGGTGCATCTTGGTCTGAGGCTTGCATTGGCCCAGACACTGCCAAATAGGTATTAGACAGCATTTTTTTTCCAGCACTTATGCATTATATTCTGAAATTAGTTTTTATTTATATTATCATTTACTTCCAATCATGCCTGACATAATTTTGTAGGCAACTGAAAGCACATTTACACTGAATATAAACATTAACCCAATATGTGACAATAGCACGCCTGGCTGCCATGGTGACGCATGTGTAATACGGATACTCCTACCTTCACTGAAAACAACGCAATTTACTATATTTGTTCCGATAGAAACTAATTATTTCCGATCATTTATGGATTGCAAGTATACTTGTAAGCACTTATTATACACAATATAAACCAAAATACAGTAGTACCCCAATTTACGAGGTCAATTGAACCCACAGGGTACCGCGGAAAGTGAAAACAGCGTAAAGTGAACAACAGAACATATGGGATTAATTCCAATAGAGACTGGCCCGACCCCCAAACTCCACTTTTTCTGACACAATACCTATGTTGTAGTAAAAATAACATCTAAATTTTATGATGGTATGCTCACACAATTAATATTTAAGAGAAATACAGTCGCCAGGTTAATGTCCATTCAAATAATGGACTCAAATCCCCCCCCCCCCTCTTCCCAGCTCACTAGCTCCTACCTCTCTGATAAATGTTTGGGTGAAAACTCTAGATTTTAACATTTAGTAATAAATAATACCTCAGACTAAAGTTAGGATAATATAATTGACATTTCTGGATTCCTTGCAGGTCAGGGAATATTTTGAATGTAAACTTCATATATTTTGCACAAAAGATAAAATATTTGCTTTGTGTAAACCAAATTATTACATTAGATCTAAAATTTGTATGTCTAATGCAAAATCCATGATGTTTATATTCAAAATGATCATCATATTGTAAGAATTCCAGCAATGTAAATTATATTCTGGTCGAGTAATTTGTATGAATTTTATGAGCTAAAACAAATATCTTCAGTTAATAAAAAAAAAAATATTCTTCACGACACTATCTGTCAATCAAAGTACCCCACCTTGCCTCCCCCCTCCTCACACTCACGCCAGCTGGGTCGGTCGGTCCCAACCCTCCCCCCCACCTTCCCTCCCTACCAGATAAATGTGTGGGTGAAAACTCTAGATTTTAACGTTTAGTAATAAATAATACCTCAGACTAAAGTTAGGATAATATAATTGACATTTCTGGATTCCTTGCAGGTCAGGGAATATTTTGAATGTAAACTTCATATATTTTGCACAAAAGATAAAATATTTGCTTTGTGTAAACCAAATTATTACATTAGATCTAAAATTTGTATGTCTAATGCAAAATCCATGATGTTTATATTCAAAATGATCATCATATTGTAAGAATTCCAGCAATGTAAATTATATTCTGGCCGGGTAATTTGTATGAATTTTATGAGCTAAATGAAAAAAAAAAAAATTATACTTCACCGCGTATATGAGTAGATGCACCGCGGAAAGTGAAAGTCTGGTTCTGGCAAGGTACCGCGTAAATGAGAAATCGCGGAAAGTGAAACCGTGTAAAGTGGGGTAATACTGTATAATGTTTGTCTCTTATGGATACTCACAATGAACACTATCATGCTGGAATTATTAGCTACTGGGGCTTTATCAACACAAACACGTCTCAGCTTGTTTACATTGCTGTCCTCTTGTTTACATTTACAATTATAATTTTGTAAATATTCTTACATATATAGGCACTTATAATTATGTTTCTGTACACTATTTACACACTTCCACCACACTCTAATAGTACTTGTACTTCTTGCACCTCTATATCACTTCCTCTTTCCTGCTGAAGGGAGACATCAACCATGAAACAGCCTGAGTGGTGATGGTAGATGAAGCAGCTGTGGAAGGGAGGAATCACACTATCACCATGAGTTGTAAAGCTCTCAATAACATTGTCAACATCCTCAGGATCACGCTGGTCCCTTGGAAACAGATGTTGCACAATTTCCTTGTTACTAAGTCCCTTACACCGGGACATGATTTATCACACTGACTCAACATTGAGATAAGCCCCTCTAACCACACACAAGGTGCTGTATGGTACTGTTTGAATTGCCTATTAGTCTATAATAGCAATAATAATATATCCTATTGATTCTCTTTCGAGTCTGACCGTGCACGAAATTGAATTGCCAAAGGTATATACGAGGTCTGTCCCCCTGACATGGTGCATCCTAGAGTGCTAAGAGAGTTGTGCAACTAGCTTGCAGAGCCCCTGAAGATCCTGTTTTGTAAATGCCTGGATGACCAAATGGTCCCCAGTGAATGGAAATTGGCTTATGTGAGTCCTATCTTCAAGAAGGGTGATCATCACTCCACGAACAACTATAGACCGGTGAGCCTGACCAGCATAATATGTAAAGTAATTGAGAGTATTATCAGAGATGCCGCTATGGAACATCTAATACAAAACAACCTTGTAAAGGATTGCCAACACGGTTTTAAGCCCGGGCGCTCCTGCTTAACACAATTGCTCAAAGTATTGGATATTTGGACCCATATTCTGGAACGGGGTGGTAATATCGACAATATTTACCTAGATTTTGCCAAGGCTTTCGACAGTGTACCCCACGAAAGGCTGAAAATCAAACTGGAGGGGTACGGAATTCGGGGAAATGCCCTAGCGTGGATAGAAGACTTTCTACATGACCGCAAGCAGTGTGTGGTGATTAATGGCACGAAATCGTCATCAGTACCTGTCACAAGTGGGATACCACAGGGCAGTGCATTGGGCCCGCTGTTGTTTGTTTGTTTCCTAAATGACATGCCTGACATTGTACACTCCTCCATACAAATGTTTGCCGATGATGCCAAGTTATTTCAGGAAATTATAACCAAGTGGACTGTGAAGAGCTGCAGAAGGACCTCTGTGAGCTCCAGGAATGGTCGAAGAAATGGCTGCTGTGATTCAATGTCACGAAGTGTAGAGGATGCACCTGGGGCGTACCATCGGTAAGGAGGCGTATCATATGTCCCAATGGGATGAAGAAACTGCACCAGTTGAGACTGAATGTGAGAAGGACCTAGGTGTGTATGTTGACAATGAGCTGAAGTTCTCGGGCCATTGTGAGAAGAAGGTAAACCAGGCAAATAAATTATTGGGTCTTATAAGAAGGTCGTTCAGATATCTAGACGGTCCGTCCCTCGTAACGATCTTCAAGAGTGAAGTGCTTCCCCATCTGGAGTACTGTCACCCCGTCTGTTCCCCGAGATATGCTAGGGACTGTCAGTTGGTTGAAAATGTTCAAAGGAGGGCCACCAGACTGGTGCCTGCACTTCGGCACCTCAGCTACCCTGAAAGATTGGAGCGCCTGAACTTGCCTTGTATAAGCATCTCAGGGGGCACTACTGAGTCGAGTGTCCTTACTTGGAGCTGGCGGACGCTCGCCCCATAACGGGTCACAGCTCAAGATTGAAGAAGCCGCAAGTCCAGAAAACTGCGAGGGCAAACTTTTTCGGAGTGAGGGCTTGTAAACTCTTGGAACAATCTACCAGAGAATGTTGTGACGGCACCGAGTGTGAGCTCTTTCAAGACAAGACTTGACCAACACTGGAGCGGGTTCAGGTATATTTAGGAGCCGGTGCATGCCCAGTAGTTGCCAACAGTGCGTGACAGAGACGTGACCGATCGCCCAAGCGGCTAACGTGCCGATCAGTGGCCAAGAGGATAAAAGTAAAAGAAACCGAACTTTTTAACCCTTAAACCCCGGGTTAGGGTGCTGCTGGCAGTAACACCACCCCCCCCACCCCCACTCCTCCCACCCCTGCGTGCTCGTGGGGTTAAATAAAAAAATAACTTTAAAAAACAAAAATAATAATAATAATAAAAAATAAATAAATGGCGGGAAAATAGGAGGACGTTCTGTAACGTCACCTGGGGCGTGCTAGTCGGACGTTCTGGAATGTTACCCGGGGCCTAAGGGTTAAATTGTGCGCCAACGAGCCAGCGCAGCGTGCTCGCGACGGGAGTGCTGTGTAGAGCTGACCTTCACCTTTTAGTCTATCATTGGCTGCATCATGCCACGTCAATTAGTCATCGAGCTACACGCACTAGAGCGAACGTGTGCTTAGTGCATTTGGCGATTTGTTGCAAGTTGAACAATGCAGGATCTTGAAGAGCAACGTGTTTGCATGAAATTCTGTTTCAAATTGGGAAAACTTTTAAGGAGACTTTTCAAGTTTTGCAACAGGCTTATGGGGAAAATTGTTTGAGCCATACACAATGTCACTTGTGGTGCCAATTTTTCAAAAGGGGAAGAACATTCACCGAAGACGATCCCAAATATGGACATCAGAGTCGCTCAAATGTGGAGGTGATGTTGATCATCTGTTTTGGTTGGAAGGGCGTCATTCATCATGAGTTTGTTCCACATTGTCAGACAGTCAATAAAGAGTTTTACTTGGAGGTCCTGAAGCGTTTGAGGGAGGCAGTGCGAAGGAAGAGGACAAACAAGACCTGGATGCTGCACCATGACAATGCACCTGCTCATCCATCGCTCCTTATCCTTGACTTTTTGGCGAAGCACGAGACGACTATCGTCCCCCAGCTGCCCTACTCTCTGGATTTGGCTCCTGCGGACTTTTTTTGTTTCCAAAGTTGAAATCCACCCTGAAAGGTCGCCAATTTCAGACGATAGAAGAGATAGAAGAAAATTCGCTACGAGACCAGCACACCATCCCTCAAAACACGTTCCAGGACTGGAAAAAATGCTGGGAGCGGTATATCAACAGTGGAGGGGAGTACTTTGAAGGAGACAAGTCTGATTAAGTTGTAAGTAAAGCAGTAAATTTGTTTTTTAAAAGGTTTGGTTTCTTTTTGGACAGACCCCA